TTTTTGTCATTGGAATTGAGTTTTATAGTCGGAGATTACTCTGACCTCCAACGACTGTTTTGCCACACAAGCTGGGGCAGTGGGACTTCAGCTCGTCCCATATCAGATAGATGATATTTGCCCGCCCAAAGTGGATGTGCTGCTTCGTTGCTTCTGGAGGTGACTGGATCCATGATATACATATAAATCAAGCCTCAATTTGTTCATTTTTCATTTTTTCTCTTCATTTAAGTAAGTTTGATCGACCTGCCACCTGTTATCTTCTCATATTTGGACAGTTTTCACATTGACCCATCAATACTGGCATTTTAACTTTCACTTTAAAGAATGTCACATGACCAACAGAAAAAGTAATTTACAATGCATTATGGGAACTGATTTATGCAAATGACACTTATTCAATAGGAAAACATAGATATGTCCTATTTTCGGTGCAAAATATAGATAGCATGCATTTTGTGTCCGGGGATACATGAACACGTATGTATGGCTTCACCAAAAAGAGTACAAATATAAACAGCGTTATATCTATATATAAACAATCAATAATAGTGGATACAGTTACCCAGTGCTATTTCTTATATAAAACTTAGGATTCAGGCGGACACAGCTGGACACAACGTTATTTCTATATAAAATCTAGTGACTACAGACGGACACAAGTGGACACAACGTAATATCTATATAAAACTTATAGAATCTGCTGGCTTCAGGCGGACACAGCTGGACACAGTGCTATTTCTATATAAAACTTAAAGATATAGGGGGAGATAGGCGGACACAAGTGGACACAACGTAATATCTATATAAAACTTATAGAATCTGCTGGCTACAGGCGGACAGTCACACAGCTGGACACAGTGCAATTCCTTTATAAAAAAATATAAAAAATGGGGATACAGGCGGACACAAGTGGACACAACGTAATTTTTATATAAAACTTATAGAATCTGCTGGCTACAGGTGGACACAGTGCTATTTCTATATAAAACTTTATGAAATAGGGGGATACAGGCGGACACAAGTGGACACAACGTAATTTTTATATAAAACTTAAAGATATAGGGGGAGATAGGCGGACACAACGTAATATCTATATAAAACATAGAATGTGCTGGCTACAGGCGGACACAGCTGGACGCATTGCAATTCCTTTATAAAAATTATAAAAACTGGGAATACAGGCGGACACAAGTGGACACAACGTAATTTCTATATAAAACTTATAGAATCTGCTGGCTACAGGCGGACACAGCTGGACACAGTGCTATTCCTTTATAAAAATTATAAAAACTGGGGATACAGGCGGACACAAGTGGACACAACGTAATTTCTATATAAAACATAGAATGTGCTGGCTACAGGCTGACACAGCTGGACACAGTGATATTTCTTTATAAAAATTACAGAAACAGGGAGCTACAGGCGGACACAAGTAGACACAACGTAATTTCTATATAAAACTTATAGAATCTGCTGGCTACAGGTGGACACAGCTGGACACAGTGCTATTTCTATATAAAAATTACAGATACAGGGCTACAGGCGGACACAACTGGACACAACGTAATTTCTATATAAAACTATGGAATCTGCGGGCTACAGGCGGACACAGCTGGACACAGTGCAATTTCCTATTTAAAACTTTAGGAAACAGGGGGCTACAGACGGACACAAGTGGACACAACGTAATTTCTATATAAAACTTTTAGAATCTGCTTGCTACAGGCGGACACAGCTGGACACAGTGCAATTCCTTTATAAAAATTATAAAAAACGGGGATACAGGCGGACACAAGTGGACACAACGTTATTTTTATATAAAACTTATAGAATCTGCTGGCTACAGGCGGACACAGCTGGACACAGTGCTATCCCTTTATAAAAAATATAAAAACTGGGGATACAGGCGGACACAAGTGGACACAACGTAATTTCTATATAAAACTTATAGAATCTTTTGGCTACAGGCAGACACAGCTGGACACAGTGCTATTTCTATATAAAACTTTATGAAATAGGGGATACAGGAGGACACAAGTTGACACAACGTAATTTCTATATAAAACATAGAATGTGCTGGCTACAGGCGGACACAGCTGGACACAGTGATATTTCTATATAAAAATTACAGAAACAGGGGCCTACAGGCGGACACAAATGGACACAACGTAATTTCTATATAAAACTTAAAGATATAGGGGGAGATAGGCGGACACAAGTGGACACAACGTAATATCTATATAAAACATAGAATGTGCTGGCTACAGGCGGACACAGCTGGACACAGTGCTATTCCTTTATAAAAATTATAAAAACTGGGGATACAGGCGGACACAAGTGGACACAACGTAATTTCTATATAAAGCTTATAGAATCTGCTGGCTACAGGCGGACACATCTGGACACAGTGCTATTCCTTTATAAAAAATATAAAAACTGGGGATACAGGCGGACACAAGTGGACACAACGTAATTTCTATATAAAACTTATAGAATCTTCTGGCTACAGGCGGACACAGCTGGACACAGTGCTATTTCTATATAAAACTTTATGAAATAGGGGGATTCAGGCGGACACAAGTTGACACAACGTAATTTCTATATAAAACATAGAATGTGCTGGCTACAGGCGGACACAGCTGGACACAGTGATATTTCTATATAAAAATTACAGAAACAGGGGCCTACAGGCGGACACAAATGGACACAACGTAATTTCTATATAAAACTTAAAGATATAGGGGGAGATAGGCGGACACAAGTGGACACAACGTAATATCTCATAAAACATAGAATGTGCTGGCTACAGGCGGACACAGCTGGACACAGTGCTATTCCTTTATAAAAATTATAAAAACTGGGGATACAGGCGGACACAAGTGGACACAACATAATTTCTATATAAAGCATAGAATGTGCTGGCTACAGGCGGACACAGCTGGACACAGTGATATTTCTATATGAAAATTGCAGAAACAGGGACCTACAGGCGGACACAAGTGGACACAACGTAATATCTATACGAAACTTATAGAATCTGCTGGCTACAGGCAGACACAGCAGGACACATTGCTATTTCTATATAAAACATATAAAAACTAGTGACTACAGGCGGACACAAGTGGACACAACGTAATATCTATATAAAACTTATTTAATCTGCTGGCTACAGCTGGACACATCATCTTCATCTTTTTATGTAAATTAAGCACCTCACATTTGAATAACTTTAAACACACCAGAACCAGGACCATGAATACATTTTTCTCAATGTTAATCTACTTTTTTCTGGATTTCACAAATGATCAATAAAACTTGACACCAGCCTAGACACATAAATATGATATCAGAACATTAAAACATTTCAGATAGAAAGTCAGCATTGTAGATTTGGATGAAAACTTGAAATGGAAAATTTTCGAGGCTGTATTTTGGGCATATAATTCTAAATTTATATACATTTCTACAATTTTCTATAGTGGAAATCCATTACATATTTTTTTGTTTAACAAATTGATACCAGTAGTTGGCAAAACCAGTTTCATGTTTAATTAACGCAATTCTTAAGCCTAAGAACCCAATAGATTAAGCACAAAATGCAGTGAATTTCTCAGTTATATTAATGCAAATCAATTTAGAATAAAAACTATTTTCTTCAATATCAAATATCGACAGGAACACGATTTATTTTAAAACTAAATGTTTTATTTATTTTATCATAATTTTCAAGGGAAACAAACTATTTTTTTTTCACTTCCCTGTATAAATTAAGTTATTTTTTCCAGAAATTAAGGATCAAACAATTTACCCCACCCCCTCCCCCTCTTTCAGACCCCTTTTGTGTTTTCAATAATCTATAGACTAATAAAACCTAAACAGTGCGTGTGGTGAATCCTTTTAGGATATAAACTCAAAGAAACATCTACCTGCTCAAACTCAAGTCATGGATAATTGTATGTCATAACTGACTAGACAATTTAATTCAGTTTGACGTACAGCTCCGTAAACTTATACCCTGGGAACAGTATATCAATATATATGTTCCTGTTATACTGAACCATATCCAAATGAATATGATTTCATCTTTAAGGCGCAACACATATGAATATTGGGAATGCTCAAGAAAAATAGGAAGACATCAGTGGAAGAAATACATTGTTCACACTATATGAAAATCAAAGGCTATATACACGCAAAGCTCCTGCTGCGAATCAGGAAGATCGGGGAAGAAAAGTCTGATAAGCCTACATCTGATAATTATCAAGGAATATATATCTTCTTACCTTGATATAGTTGTATTGCCATTCGATTTGATTTTTTATAGTAGGCCCCAAGTTAAAATCGGCTCTACAGTCTACACGTTTGGATGAACGCTGGATTACTATATATAACAATCGATTTTGCATGTGCCTGCGCAATGCGAATATTGAAAGTACAATACAATAAAAGTTGCAGGAGTTTTGTTACAGCAAGTGTCCTTTAAGGGTATAAAATTGTATAGACAATTAATTAACTCTATTTCTTGACTAACACACAGCATTACACTGGAACTATTTGAATATTAAATATTGGTATCGGTGTTTTAGATGGATGTGTCCGGTGCCTACGCATGCCAATACGAATTTACAGAATAATCCTAGAGTCAACTTTTCTCAAATGTGTGCAGTTTTTATATAAATTTCTACTTTGATATACTGCCATCCTGACTTGTCGATAGTATTTTACATGTTCCAAAAGGTGGCAATAAATTAAGTATCACTGTAGTAGATAATTTTCAGGCAGTAACAAATCAACAAATATCCAAGTCCAACCAGATCTGGTGATAAAATTCCAGGTTTTATTCCCATACTAGCTGTACTTATAATCTTATTTTCCTGACATCCATTCTTTTGTTCCAGTCAAAATCATTACAAGATTAACCACCAAAAATATCCTGTCATGTTTCAATCTGCATAAATTTTTTGTATTAAGATTGAAAATGAACAAACAATAAATACCTGAGAAGTCTACAGCACAGACCCCTCCTTGATGTTGACCTTTCAGTACTGACGATGTTTCATTGATTCTGTATCCCAGATATGTATAGTTCATCAGTCTCTTCCAACCTGTATGTACATAAATTAGATTGAAATATATTTAAAAAAAGATTCTACTACTACCATAAAGGTACTTTTGAACAATGATTCCATAATTTCTGGCTTTGTACTTGTTTTGGCTTTCAAACTTTTTTCATCTGAGCGTCACTGGTTGGTCTTGTGTGGACGAGACGCACGTCTGACGTATTGAATTTTAAGCCTAGTACCTTTTGTTAGCTATTATTCGTGTGTTTCTTTGACCTATATGTTCTCCCATTTATTTGTTTTGTGGTCCTGTCATGTGATGTTGTCGTTTTGGTGTTGTGTTTGACGTTGCCATAAAAGCGGGAGGTTTGGCATGCCACAAAACCAGGTTCAACCCACCATTTTTTCTTAAAATGTCCTGTACCAAGTCAGGAAAATGGCCATTGTTAATTTGTTATATTATAGTATATGTGTGTTACATTTTAAGGTTGTGTTTTTGTTGTGTCGTTGTTCTCCTCTTATATTTGATGCGTTTTCCCTCAGTTTTAGTTTGTAACCCGGATTTGTTTTTATCTCTATCGATTTATGAGTTTCGAACAGCGGTATACTACTGTTGCCTTTATTTAGATATATTTTATAATATTTAGATATTTAAGGTTTGCCATAAATCAATGGATAATGTTTGATGTCACATGATATTTTTCTCTCTAAGGGATATAAGCCAATAACAATCCATTCTGTAAAATATTTTACAGAATGGACTGTTAGAGGCTTATATCTTACATTGTTTTACATGTTGAAACCTGAAAATTATAAAAACTTTCATAGTCCCCTGGTTCATGAAGGAAGTTCTAATTCGCACTTTGTACACAGGATAAGGTTTCGGTTGTTCATGACCCTTGTATTGCAGCATGATCTATCAAATTTTAGAAGCATTACTTTATTGCTTTTTTCATTTTAGTTGCAGTTGAAAATGATGTTAGGAAGGGCATCACCAGAGGTCAATTTTGATAACCTAAAGACGGACGAGGATAAATCTTTTGGAAAAAGAAATTCATAAAAGCAATAAAAACAAGACTTACAACAAGCATAATCAACTTATTGAATTAGTGCTAAAAGAGACAACCCAAAAACATGAGAAAAATGGCTGTGATATAAGTATTGGTAGTGTTAATAAACTAGCTGTTATCACAGAGATATGTCTCGCTTTTTTGTAATTTCGATAATGCAAATGTTGAAATTAAAATAGAAACACTTTATTTAACATGTACGTTTTGCAAATACTCAAAGTTAATGAACCATGACTGAAGGTACATGGCTAAACAATCTCCATGGAAATGAGATGTACCAATGCTAATACAACTGCATACTAAATACCATTGACTTATCATAAGTAGTTCCCTTTAAACATACCTAAACACAAGCTCATACATTTAAATATAGCAAAATTTCAAACACAAGTTAATACATTTAAATAAAGCAAAATTTCAAAGTCAATAAACCATAACTGAGGGGGCGGGGGTCAACTAATTTTCCTGGTAATGAGATGTGCCAATGCTAATACAACTGCATACTAAATATCATTGACCTATCGCTAGTGGTTCTCCATAAACTGACCTAATCACAAACTAATACATGAAAACTAAGCAAAAGTTTCAAAGTCAATAGACCATGACTGAGGGGGTGGGGCCAAATAATTTCCATGGAAATGAGATATGCCAATGCTTATACAACTGCATACCAATTATCATTTACTTATCACTAGTGGTTCCCCATAAACTGACCTACCGGTAATCACAAACTAATACATGAAAACTAAGCAAAAATTTCAAAGTTATTAGACCATGACTGAGGGGGCGGGGCCAAATAATCTCCATGGAAATGAGATATGCCAATGCTTATACAACTGCATACCAATAATCATTAACTTACCACTAGTGGTTCCCGATAAAATAACCTAATCACAAACTAATACATGAAAACTAAGCAAAGTTTCAAAGTCAATAGACCATGACTGAGGGGGTGAGGCCAAATAATCTCCATGGTAATGAGATGTGCCAATACCAATACAACTGCATACCAAATATCTTTGACTTACCACTAGTGGTTCACCATAAACTAGACATAATAACAAACTAATACATTGTTGACGCCGCCATCGCAGCCGACGCCGGAAACAGCATACCTATGTCTCGCTTTTTGACTCCGTCAAGTGAGACAAAAATCAATTTGAAAGTGATTTTTTTCTCAAGAAACCATTTTGATGAGTGACAAAATTATTGTATTGGAAGGTGACTTTAATAAAATGTTTTTTTAATTGTCATTTGATCTTTGGTTTTATTTTTGTTTACATGATGAAAACAATTGGGGTAATTAATAGGTTTTTTTTTTATTTCAGTGATTGAACTATCATTTATCTGTAAGAATCAGTAATGCTACCCTTTAGCTGTCCAATATTTTTAAGAAAGAGGAGGTCTATTCTTAAAAATATTGGACAGCTAAAGGTAACATAATGGTTTCTTACAGGTTAATGATAGTCCAATCACTGAAATAAAGAACGGGTAAAACAATAGAATGACATCACAACAATGTTTTAATTATCCATAACATTTTAGAATATGAGACAGGAGAATGAAATGCCAGACATGTGACCTCTAGTCTGAATTTCTGATTGGCTTAAGTCATCTCTATAAAAAAACATCCTTTTCAAACGATAATTTCAAGATAACAGATAAACAATGTTTCAATAGTAATTTCCTAAGATAAAAAAAATATAGAAAAATGCACCTAGCTTATTAAAGAGGTTTTTATTAGCAGCATGTTTATGATAAAATCTCCAATAGATTGCATCCTTTTTTGTTGATAGTTTACTATAAAGTAACAATCGGTAAACTTCGGCTTCAAAACACGGCAATTAATGAGCTACCATATTTGTTAGATCATAACAGACAGAGAGAAAAAAAATTGACAATTTAAAAACGATATCTTTGCGTAAAAAATGATAAAATCGTGCACAGAAGACTAAGTTTATGATATAAACATGCATTGCGCCTGTCCCAAGTCAGGAGCCATTGGCCTTTGTTAGTCTTGTATCATTTTTAATTTTAGTTTCTTCTAGACAGAGAGAAAAAAAATTGACAATTTAAAAACGATATCTTTGCGTAAAAAATGATAAAATCGTGCACAGAAGACTAAGTTTATGATATAAACATGCATTGCGCCTGTCCCAAGTCAGGAGCCATTGGCCTTTGTTAGTCTTGTATCATTTTTAATTTTAGTTTCTTGTGTATAATTTGGAGTTTAGTATGACGTCCATTATCACTGAACTAGTATACATATTTGTTTAGGGGCCAGCTGAAGGACGCCTCCGAGTGCGGGAGTTTCTCGCTGCATTGAAGACCCATTGGTGGCCTTCAGCTGTTGTCTGCTCTATGGTCGGGTTGTTGTCTCTTTGACACATTCCCCATTTCCATTAATTCTCAATTTTATTGGTTCAAGAATTGGATAAACATTATTTTTCATTAGTCACTCGTTTCATATGACTTTAAACTTGAGAATGTAATAATTTCAATGTTTAGTGAACCGTGGAATAGGCCTAATACCATAGTAATTTCACATCATGTGGCCTTATTTTCATGTTGATAAGACCACAACGTCAATGTAAACAACCTAAAAATCTATTTGGACTGACAGACGAACAGACCATACAACATAATATCCATTACAATCATAAGTAAAATAACATGTAATTGGAATTAGCTGAAATGAATTTTTTTCAATTTATTGTTGGCTTTGCTTGTAAAAAGTTAAAAAACTTAATTTTGGTATACATTCTTAGTAGACAATGTGTTCAAAGGGAAATAACTCACCATAACCATAAAACATCTATTTTCTATACATGTCCCAGTACAACTAATGATTCCTGACAAGATAATAAAGGCTCCTGTTCCTAGTAGCAAGTATGTTGCCAAAGGGAAAGTACTGTTCCCTAGCAGATTGATATAGGTATGCTTCTGGAACTTGATATATAACCCTAATCTAATGCTAGGAAAGCTAACCGGGCTGTCAGCTGGAAAAGAAATATAGAATTTATCATGCATAAAAACACTATTGAATTTTAAAGAACATTTAATTAATTGATAGAACATGATACAGAAAAGTTAGGAAACGGAATATTTTTGTAATTTGAAGTTAGCAATGTTAGCTGAAAAATTAGAAATAATTTTATATTAGGATCTTTTATCCTGTTAGCATGGTTATAAAATCTTACTAGCAACAGAATACAGTAAACAATGAAGGAAGAATTTCATTTAATTTGAACAAAGAACAAAGGGAGATTATTCAATTAACATGTATCTATATCTTCTCTTATGTCTTATATTATACATTTACAAATTCTATACTTTATATAGTTAGTTCTGAATATGCATATATAATATTTGCCAATGGATGATTCTAAGCAACCAATAACCAATAAATCATTTAAATTGTAATATCTTTTTAAGTTGCCTTTTCTATAACTATAAACATATATATAATACACTTACCCAAAAGAAAAAGTTGAACACATAAAGGACGACTTTTAGGAAGTTTTTACCACACAGGTCCCTTTTTCTCCTATTATTTCCTCTAGCTGATTGTAAAATCCCAAAACTAATAGAATGTTAACTTCTGTTTAACCACTGTCTGCACACTGCACACTAACAATCTTTTGTTACTGATATCATTTGCAGCTTTTTCAAATTCAATGAGGCTATTTGTATTGATTCAGTTACCATCCATCTATTGTGAAAGAGAAAGAAAATATTACTATCAGAACAAACAATGTCCACAGATATACTGCACTTAAAGTTAACTTTAGTTACTTTCCTGAAAAAACCAATTAGATAATTTCACATAATCTTTACTTTATGACTTTATAAAGTTTTTCTATCACATGAAAAAGTAATTATAATTTAATGCATATAATAAACGTAATTAACTGCAGTCAGGGGAGTAGCTGCCGTTAGGCACTTTAGGCACGTGCCTACACATAATTTTTTCACAAATAATTTTTTTATTAAAAAAGTAATAAACAATGTTATCTGTAGATGCATGTGAATTCGTCAAAACTCTTTAATTATCGAATGTTATGCGTACACTAGTCTATCATTCTTATTGAATCAGTGGCGTATTGGAACTGTATGTCATTATATTCCACCTAATATAGAAACTATAAACTAGAACTTTGGTTCAGATAATTCACTTCAATCAACAAATACTTGAATGAACCTCAACTTAGATAAATGATTTTTTTTAATTAGTTGTTGTTGGCCCAAGTTCAATCTGATGCCTAGTGAAGAGAGAAAGAATGCCACGCTCTCTGCACATTAAGACACTTGAAACAACTCTTTGAGGGGTTAGTAGGTTGTCTACTGAAAGGTAAATTTCTGTTCCTATTTAATAAACCCTCATTTTCCAATGCATGGCATTTCCAAATTTCCAGACCTTCATCCTGGACGACCTCTATCTGTTTTAGTCCTGAACATGCATGAATTATTTGCCACTGGACGTCTATCAATCAATCAATCAATCAATCAATCAACTAGCTTTTAGTAACTTCGAGTACTCTCAGATCTACATGTAATGACGATAATTATTCAAATTCCTAAGCAGGTAGGGATTTTACAGTACAGGATATAAGAAAATATGAATTTCTTGAATTTTGTTAGACACCGGTAGTATGAACAGAACAGAACTTCTGCATGACGTATTGACTGTGTGTGTGTATGTGTTTGTGTGGCCGGGGGAGGGTGAAGGTTTAAGAATCAAAATATGAATGGTCGATGCGCCGTATTCCAAAAGTTAGTATTATTATGTAGTAGTCTCAGTGTTTACGTGCCTATTTTTTTTTTTAATGAAGGATTGTCAATATGTACTATCAATTGACGTATATATCAATTATACTCAATCAGAAACAGGTTGTGCTGCCTAATAAAGGGCTACGCTGATCCACGCTGGGCAATGCATATTGGAAATATTGTTTTTTTTTATATTTCCAATTGTACTGCCGGTTAATTCATCAGTCAGATGTAATTGTAGAATTATGTTTATTTTTTCGACATTGTTTTCATGTATATTATCATGATAAAATGACGTTTTTTTAGGTTTTTTTATACACAAAATCTTGCAACTTAAATGCTGAAAACCGTTTTCCGTCGGAGGGCTACGCCCCCAGAACCCCTTACCAGGGGCCTTATGGGGCCCCAGACCCCCTGCCTCAATTTGTGCCTACAGTTTATTGGATACCTAGCTACGCCCCTGGCAGTTGTCTGGCTATGCTTCATCTCACAATATATTGTGTATACATATACACCTGGTGATACCCACCCAGATACATTATTCACATATACGACCATGCAATACCCTCATGGATAACCAGGGTCAGTAAAAAAAAACATGTCATTCACAATATAAAAACCATACAATAATTTCTGTATTAACAGTATTTGAAATGTTATACAACAGTTTAACCAGGTATTTAAAATCTTAACCCTGTGGTTTTTAGATACAATCCAAATGGACTTTGATGCTTTGGTGTTGATATTTAAATGTCTTCTTACTTTTTGTGTCATTAAGTTGCTGTCTCATTGATATATTATACCCTTTATCTCCATTATTCAACTTTTTATCATGGTAAGCAAAGGTATTTAGGCCATGTTAAATTACTGAAAGAACTTATATGTATGGGCTTTGCTCATTGTTAAAGGTAGTAAGGTGACCCGTAGCTGTTAATTTCTGTGTCATTTGGTCTCTTGTGGCTCGTTTCTCATTGGCAATCGTACCACATCTTCTTTTTCATATTATGCAAGATAATGCCTGGTTTCCCCTTTGATTTGTTCAAATCTTCAAATATTAATGTAAACATAAAGTAACCAGATGCTCCGCAGGGTGCAGCTTTATATGACTGCAGAGGTCGAACCCTGAACAGTTGGGACAAGTATGGACACAACATTCAAGCTTGATACAGCTCTGAATTTGGATGTGATTAAATAGTAAATAGTTGACACAGCATAGGTTTCTGGTAGTCTAATGAACTTAAAAAATTTATTTGCTTTTGAGTAATACACTATGCTGTTGAATATTAATCCCCTAAAAAAATAATATTTAAAGAAATCTGAAATGAGAAAAATTGTACCCCCTACCCCCCCTACACCCCCTTTTTTTTCATCTTCTCTTTTCCCTTATTCCAATAATAATCTCAATTCAAATTTCTTATGGAGTTTTTAACAATAACTACTCATTTAATAAATACATCATAAAATATAAAAATATAAAATGACATAGTCATGATTAAAATTAATATAAATGAATAGTATTACTTCTAAAAAAAAATTACAGCTTATCATCTCAAGACAATCATCATTTCTTAATACACAATTTTCAAACAGTGTAAGGGAGGTAATCAAACATATATATAACAGTATTCTTTAAATTTGAATTGGATTACCTCCCTAACACAGCTTTTAAATTGTCTAAATTGTCCTTTAACCAGAAAAACACGTGTTTTCCCCCTTTTTTTGGCCCCTAATTGCTAAATGATTTAAGCCATAACCCCCAATAACTATCCCTTTGTAGTATGGAAACTTGTGGTATAATTTCCGATAGATTTATACACTTAAACACAAGTTATTGACTGTAAACTACAACAAGTTATTGTCTGGAAACTAGAAAAATGCTTGTTTTTGGCCCTTTTATGGCCCCTAATTCTTGCATGAATGGGACAATAATGCCCAAACTCAATCTAAGTCTTCCTTTTGTGATATGGAACTTTGTGGTACAATATAAGAGAGATCTATACACTTACACACAAGTTATTGTCCAGAAACTACAAAAATGCTTGTTTTTGGCCCCTTTTGGGCCCTTAATTCTTAACTGTTGACACCATAGACTGCAAAATGAATCCAAACCTTTTACTTGTGGTATTAAACATTATGGTACAATTTCAGAGCAATTGAAATACTTATACACAAGTTATTATCCTGAAAGTAGAAAAATGCTTGTTTTGGGGCCTTTTCGGGCCTATTATTACTTAACCAGTGGGACCAGCAACCCCAAAATCAATCCCAACCTTTCTTTTGAACCTTTTTATTAAATTTCAAAGAGATCCATTCATGTAAACTAAAGTTATTGTCCGGAAACCAAATGTGTCATCGGGCAACGCAGACGACGACATCATACCATTATACAATCCAAAAAAAATTTTTGCGGGTTAAATATATTTATCTTGTGTGCCTAAAGACTACATCAGGTGCCATTTAACTAGGTGCCAATTTGACTATACCGGGTGCCGATTTGACCGGATATTGGTTTGACTAGAACTCTGACCAATGAGCTGTTGAATACCATAAATGGGCTGTCGACATTTGATCAAGCTTCCGTCGTAAATATTGGTCACAGTGTAATTAACCAGATTGTTTTGGGCCAGAACAACCTGATACCCTAGTACTGATACCCTAGTACTTTATCAGTATATAATAGAACATTGGTAAGTTAATCTGTTTATATCTAGTTTTAACCATTTACCCCCCAGAAGATATATCCTGTCATTCCTGTTGTCTAGTGTTTATTGTACTTCTTCTTCTATATTTTGTGGTTAATCTGCAGTTGAAATTTCCATAACACAGATATACTGTGCGGTTGTGTCAACCAGTACACGCCAAGTTAAAAATAAACAAAAACTTGTGTATTTACAGGAACAAAATCAAATAAAATTATGTGAGTTTGCAACAACTGTACAGGGTTAAAATCAGGTATCAATAGTTACGCCAGGAACTGCCACACACAGACCCGGAAGGCGTCTGTTGTGGGGGCTTGGATGGCACTTTCAGGTAATTGGTTCCAGTCAAAAATTTGTTCTGGGGATGAAACTGTATTTATAGGCATCCGTTGAAGTGCTGACTCTGGAAAACCTGTCTCTGTGCCTGTGGTATTGTCTGGTTGTTACAGTTGGTCTCCTGATGAATTAGGTGAACTCACATACCAAAAATCAGCCTAATATCTGAAGGCATTTAGAAAAAAAGCCCGTATAATGGTTTGTTGCGGAATGACGGAATGACAGAATGATGGAAAGATGGATTGACGGAATTATGGAATGACAGACAAGGGTAAAACTATATGGCCCCGACAGCTTTGTTGCGAGGCCATATTTGTTACGGGGCCATATGTTCTCAACTTGGAAGAAAAACACAGCACTTGGTATCATTCCAACATGAACTGTACAGAAGCTGCTGCTTAATTGATGAAAAGCCACAACTCTATCTAGCTACTGAGAAGTGCTACAATATTTATATATAAGCAGCACATAAACAGTAACAAGAAAGGCTGTTAACCTGTGAACTTTTAGACGACAGCAATTTCTCAATATTTAAACTTATCAGATTGATGTAGAAAACAGAAACTACATGAGACAAAACAGAAACTATACTTCCAGACCAGTACACCCTGCCCTTACTATGAAATCACATTCTCTCACAGATTAACCCCCTCTCTATATTCCACTCACAATCATATACCCTCACCCTCTCCATCATTCTATTTTTCTCCCTCCCTTTCTCACCCTTTCACCCTATCATAACACCCTTAACCACCTACCACCTAATACCCCTTCTGCTTCGTGTTAAGTCCCTATGAGAAAATTGGGTTAGTAGATGAATACGATTTTATAAGATGTACCAGATATGGAAGATCTTAAAATTTTAGAAATGTGAATGAAATTTAGAACTGATTGATATCAAACATAAATATATGAACTTGAGCCACTTTTAGAAATGTAGTCTTATTTTCTACACATAATGGTCATCATAGCATTCGTACAAAAGATTAACAGCCAACGTTGCAGAAAGCCAAATTGTGTAATGTAAATTTGAAAATAGAATGCTGTTTTGATTGATAAACATTATGGAGGCCAAAAAGTATATATCCCACTCTTAATTTTGAAGTGTTTTTGGTGTGTTGATTACAAAATATGTTGAAAAAAATGAAAAAAACATAAATGAAAATTGCCAAATGGTATAAATCCAAATAGTTCAAAAAACACATAAAACAAAAAGCCAAATGAAAAATGCCAAAGTTTAAAAATGCCAAATGGTATTAAAAATACCTGTCTGCTTGTACTAGCCAGCCGGCCTGTGGGTTAGCTGGACTTTAAGGTGCTAGTTCACCAAGACAAATGCCCACAGTAGGTCACCTATCTTTTCCTTTTGGAGTACCAGTTTTTAAGTCTTTGATTTGACTTGGGGGCTCAACATTTAACTAAAAAAAGATAAAAAAAAAGAGGTCTCCTGTATAAATTAAAATTTGGTCTTAAAAAGTAAAATATTCCCTTTGTCCCCCACACCCAAATGGATAAAATAATGTAAAAGTCCCTCATTTCCCAAATAATCATTAAATGACCTGCCTCAACTTATAAATTAGGATAAAAACAGTAAAATATCTCCAATTAAAATTTAGATAAAAACAGTAAAATATCCCTAATTAAAATTTAGATAAAAACAGTAAAATATCCGATTAAAATTTGGATAAATGCAGAAAAATATCCCCAATTAAAATTTGGATGAAAACAGTAAAATATTCCCAATTAAAATTTGGATAAAAACAAATAAAATACTTTTTTCCCCTTAAAAGCATGTTACAGAGCTTCACATGCAGACTGAGCCACCTCACTCTCAGTTTGTTCCAGTAAAAAATCCCCAATTAAAATTTGGATAAAACAGTAAAATATCCCCAATTAAAATTTGGATAAAAACAAACAAAATACTTTTTTCCCCTAAGCAGCATGTAACAGAGCTTCACATGCAGACTTGAGCCACCTCACTCTCAGTTTGTTCCAGTAAAAACAATAAAATATCCCCAATTAAAATTTGGATAAAAAACAGTAAAATATTCCCAATTAAAATTTGGATAAAAACAAATAAAATACTTTTTTCCCCTTAAAAGCATGTTACAGAGCTTCACATGCAGACTGAGCCACCTCACTCTATTTGTTCCAGTAAAAACAATAAAATATCCCCAAATAAAATTTGGATAAAAAACAGTAAAATATCCCCAAATAAAATTTGGATAAAAAACAGTAAAATATCCCCAATTAAAATTTGGATAAAAACAGTAAAATATCCCCAATTAAAATTTGGATAAAAACATTAAAATTTGGATAAAAACAGTAAAATATCCCCAATTAAAATTTGGATAAAAACAGTAAAATATCCCCAATTAAAATTTGGATAAAAACAAATAAAATACTTTTTTCCCCTTAAAAGCATGTTACAGAGCTTCACATGCAGACTGAGCCACCTCATTCTCAGTTTGTTCCAGTAAAAACAATAAAATATCCCCAATAAAAATTTGGATAAAAACAGTAAAATATCCTCAATTAAATTTGGATAAAAACAAATAAAATACTTTTTTCCCCTTAAAAGCATGTTACAGAGCTTCACATGCAGACTGAGCCACCTCACTCTCAGTTTGTTCCAGTAAAAACAATAAAATATCCCCAATTAAAATTTGGATAAAAACAGTAAAATATCCCCAATTAAAATTTGGATAAAAACAGTAAAATATCCCCAATTAAAATTTGGATAAAAACAGTAAAATATCCCCAATTAAAATTTGGATAAAAACAAATAAAATACTTTTTCCCCCTTAAAAGCATGTTACAGAGCTTCACATGCAGGCTGAGCCACCTCACTCTCAGTTTGTTCCAGTAAAAACAATAAAATATCCCCATCCCCAAATAAAAATTTGGATAAAAACAAATAAAATACTTTTTACAATTAAAAGCATGTTACAGAGCTTCACATGCAGACTGAGCCACCTCACTCTCAGTTTGTTCCAGTAAAAACAATAAAATATCCCCAATTAAAATTTGGATAAAACAGTAAAATATCCCCCATTAAAATTTGGATAAAAACAGTAAAATATCCCCCATTAAAATTTGGATAAAAACAGTAAAATATCCCCAATTAAAATTTGGATAAAAACAAATAAAAAACTTTTTTCCCCTTAAAAGCATATTACAGAGCTTTACATGCAGGCTGAGCCACCTCACTCTCAGTTTGTTCCAGTAAAAACAATAAAATATCCCCAATTAAAATTTGAATAAAATACTTTTTACAATTAAAAGCATGTTACAGAGCTTCACATGCAGACTGAGCCACCTCGCTCTCATTTTTCCCCTTAAAAGCATGTTACAGAGCTTCACATGCAGACTGAGCCACCTCTCTCTCAGTTTATGCCAGGAATAGCAAAAAATATTTTGACTGAGCCATCGCACATCAGTCAAACTGAGCCACCTCACTCTCAGTTTAACGTACCAGTAAGAATGGATACTTGATACGTATGATGGGGGACGTTCCTATACCTAAAAGGGAGGTATAGTATCTGTGAACCCCAAACACAGAGCGCGGCTTAACTTCGTCATACGTATACACAAGTATCCAATGCTAACTGATACATAACGTTGTCATGTTTTTCATGTCAGTCACTGAAAATAATTTTTAAATGTTACAACTGAAATAATAACAAAAACCTTGATTCCAAGTTGCCTGTGGTAAGAAGTGAAATAATATCAAAAACCTTGATTCCAAGTTGCCTGTGTTAAGAAGTGAAATAACTTCTCTGTAAAATATATCGTTTTGAAATTCTTGATGGTTTTCTTAAGGATTGAAGAACATGTGGCATTCCGGTAAACACAGAGTGACAGCAACTCAACTATAAAGTAAAACCAGAAAGATATGAAAATGTAAAAAGTTTAGGTCTGGAGCTGGCATGTCAGTAACTGCTAGTAGTCTGTTGTTATTTATGTATTATTGTTTTGTTTATTTTCTTTTGTTTCATATTCTGACATCGAACTCAGACAACTCTTAAACTGAGTTTCACTGTGCTTATTTTTGTGCGATTTTTTTTTCTACATTGGTTAGAGGTATAAGGGGAGAGTTGAGATCTCAAAAAAACATGTTTAACCCCGCCACAATTTTGTGCCTGTCCCAAGTCAGGAGCCTCTGGCCTTTGTTACTCTTGTATGATTTTCAATTGTAGTTTCTTGTGTATAATTAGTTTAGTATGATGTCCATTATCACTGAACTAGTATATATGTTTAGGGGCCAGCTGAAGGACGCATTAGGGTGCGGGAGTTTCTAGCTGCATTCAAGACCCATAAGGGGCCTTCAGCTGTTGTCTGCTCTATGGTCGAGTTGTTGTCTCTTTGACACATTCCCCATTTCCATTCTCAATTTTAGTCTTTAATCATTACTTTTTCAAATTATGACTTGGATTGAGAGTTGCCTCATTGGCACTCATACCACATATTCTTATATCTATTTAACAATGACTTGTTCTTAGGTGGAAAGTCATTTTACTATTTATTCGAATTTCAAGATATCTCATATAATATATATATAATATATAAGATATCTAATAAATGATATCTTATTTAATGTATAAGATATCTTATTTAATATATTAGATAGCTTATAATTTTATTTTTATACAATATTTTATATATCAATTGAGATATCTTATAAGATATAGATATCTTATAAGATATCTCATAAAGTATATAAGATATATTACATACTTTATAAGATATCTTCTGAATTTTATAAGATATCTCATATAGTTTAAAAGATATTTTATAAATTTTATGAGATATCTTAAAAACTATATGAGATATCTTATAAACTATATAAGATATCTTATATAATATGTGAGATATCTTATAAAATTATGAGATATCTTATATAGTTTATATTAAAGATATCTTATATAGTTTATAAGATATCTTATATAGTTTATAAGATATCTTATGTAGTTTATTAGATATCTTATATAGTTAATGAGATATCTTATATAGTTTATAAGATATCATTGGCATTCAAGGATAGTTATTCTCATTGGCAACCCTTCCATATATCCTTATTTTTTATATGGTTGAGAGATAAATGTAGTTTCTTGTGTGTATAACCCGTGCATTGAGTTGCACTTTCAGGCTAAAAATTGACTTGATAAATTTCTGGCAGCACATCTATCAAGAATTAGCATATGACAATTTATTCTGTTATAAGTTTCAAGAAAGAAAATAAAAATTTGTCTATCTTTTATGTTGTTTTTGTTTATTCTAAACATATAAAACATTTTCATAATTCATTTAAATGAGCAAAAATTCTTCAATTCATACCAAGAATGTACCGTTTTCAAGAATACCGCACAAGTTCTTCAAGTCTTTAATTGCATACAAATGTTTGTTACAGACTATTATATGCCTTGTAAGTGTTCATATGAAAAATACCACATTTAGGTCATACAAATGCTAGTCCAGATAACATCCATGTAGTCTTTGAATTATTTGATTATTGTCTCATTTCTGTTAAGGCTTCACTTCTAATACAATTGACCTTGTTCAAAGATGACGTGTTGACAACTCCTCTTCAACCAAATTGCTTGTTCTGAACTTCTCTCAACATACTGAAAAGTAAAAATAAGATTTATTATCCCTTAAGTATGCATGTTTAAGTTTAATCAGCCATTCATATGTAAAGTTTAGTTTAATCAATTTTGAATAATTGGTAAATGATAATAAAAAAGATGTGGAATGATTGCCAATGAGACAAATCTCAACAAGAGACCAAATGGTACAGAAATTAACTACTTTAAGTCACAGAACATGGTCATAGATAAAAGGCTCCAAAATTACCATAGTAAAATAATTCAAACAAGAAAACTAATGGCCTGATATAAGTACAAAACTAGAGGCTCTAAAGAGCCTGTGTCGCTCACCTTGGTCTATGTTCATACTAAACAAAGGACATACATAATAGATGAGAATAGAATTCATGACAAAATTATGTTTTGGCGATGATGATGTGTTTGTCAATCTTACTTTACTGAACATTCTTGCTGTTTCGATTTTCTCTATCTATAATGAACTTTGCTCAGTAGTTTCAAAGGAAAATATTTTGTAAATAAAATGCTCCACAGGGCGCAGCTTGATACATGTATGACCGCAGAGGTCGAACCCTGAACAGTTGGGGCAAGTATGGACACAACATTCAAGTTTGATACAGCTCTGAATTTGGATTGTGATTAAATATTTGACACAGCATAGGTTTCTGACACAGAATGAATGTGGTCTAAGAACTTACATTTTTTTAATTTACCTAGTATGGTCCAATATCCAAAATCTAAATACATGGTTACTTTCAGCATATCAAAGAATCCAAAGAATTCAATTTTTGATGAAATCAAACAAAGTTTAATTTTGGACCCTTTTGACCTCAATGTGGACCAATTTGATAACGGGGCCCAAAAATCAAAATACATGGTTAGATTTAGCATATCAAAGAACCCCATATATTCAATTTTTGTTGAAATCAAACAAAGTTTAATTTTGGACCCCAACTTGGACCAACTTGAAAACTGGGCCCATAATCAAAAATCTAAACACATGTTGAGATTCAGCATATCAAAGAACCCCAAGAATTCAATTTTTGTTAAAATCAAACTAAGTTTAATTTTGGACCCTTTTGGACCTTAATGTAGACCAATTTAAAAAACAGGACCCAAAATTAAAAATCTAAATACATGGTTAGATTCAGCATATCAAAGAACCCTATATATTCAATTTTTGTTGAAATCAAACAAAGTTTAATTTTGACCCCAATTTGGACCGTCTTGAAAACTGGGCCCAAAATCAAAAATCTAAATACATGTTTAGATTCAGCATATCAAAGAACCCCATATATTCAATTTTTGTTTAAATCAAACTAAGTTTAATTTTGGATCCTTTGAACCTTAATGTAGACCAATTTGAAAACTGGACCCAAAATTAAAAATCTAAATACATGGTTAGATTTGGCATATCAAAGAACCCCAATAATTCAATTTTTGATGAAATCAAACAATGTTTAATTTTGGACCCCAAGGTCCAACTTGAAAACTGGGCCCAAAATCAAAAATCTAAATACATGTTTAGATTCAGCATATCAAAGAACCCCATATATTCAATTTTGGTTAAAATCAAACTAAGTTTAATTTTGGACCCTTTGGACCTTAATGTAGACCAATTTGAAAACTGGACCCAAAATTAAAAATCTAAATACATGGTAAGATTTGGCATAACAAATAAATAAATGTGGTCTAAGATTTTACAAATCTAATGCGCCATACTGTGCAATTAAAGATTACTTCTTGAAATTTTTCAATATTTGAAATTTGAAAAAAAAAAAATATTTGAAGAATAATTCTTTTTAATTTCTGAAATCTGAAATGAGAAAAAATTGACCCCCCACAATTTCTTTTTACCCCCCCCCCCCCCCTTTTTCCCCCAAAAAATTCTTTCCCTCAAGATATGGTCATAATCTCAATTCAAATTTCCAATGGAATTTGCAACCATAATTGCCCATTTAAATTTACCATAGTGCTAACTTAATCTCTTTTATAATAGAATTTAAAATATGGTGTCAAATCTTTCATATGGATTTTTTTGTAAAAAAAAAAAAGATGCAACATTTGCAGATATTTTTACTGATCTTCCTTTATAAATATGCATTTCTTTAAACATAATTTAAAAGCAGTCAAGGGAAGTAATCAAAACGTTGTATGTGGATTACCTCCCTTACACTGATTTAAATTGTCTTAATTGTTCATTAACCATTACTTTATACATAATTTAAAAGCAGTGTAAGGGAGATAATTCAAATGATGTATTTGATTTATCTCCCTTACACTGCTTTAAATTATGTTTTGTACTAAAGTATTTGTCCATACAAATTTGCTTGTTTTTGCCCCTTTTTTGGCCCCTAATTCCTAAAATTTTGAGGCAATTACCCCCAAAATCAATCCCAGCATTCCCTTTGTGATATGGAATCTTGTGGTACAATGTCAGAGAGATCCATACACTAACACACAAGTTATGTCTGGAAGTTACAAAAATGCTTATTTTTGGCCCCTTTTTGGCCCCTAATTCCTTAACTGTTGGTACCATAACCCCCAAAATCAATCCCAACCTTCCTTTTGTGGTATTGAACCTTATGGTAAAATTTCATAGAGATCCATTCACTTAAACTAAAGTTAGAGTGCGAAAACTAATGTGTCTCCGGACGACGACGTCGGACGACGATGACGACGACGACGACGCCAATGTCATACCAATATACGACCACAAAAATTTTTTTGCGGTCGTATAAAAATTACAAAAAAAAATTACATAATTTACGAATATTGTTTAAAATTTAAAAAGCAATAACTCCTTATTGACAGTTTTAGTCAAGTTGACTTATTTGTAGATCTTACTTTGCTATACATAATTGCTGTTTACAGTTTATCTTTATCAAAGATAATATTGAAGATTATAACCAAAAACTGCAAAATTTCTGAAAATTACCAATCCAGGGGCAGGAACCCAACAACAGGTTGCCTGATTTGTCTGAAAATTTCAGGGCAGTTAGATCTTGACTTAATGAACATATTTTAATGAATGAAATTTGCTCTAAATGCTTTGAATTCAGAGATATTAGCCAAAAATTGCATTTTACCCCTATATACTATTTTTAGCCATGTCTGCCATCTTGGTTTGTGGACAGGGTCATTGGACACATTTTTAAAACTACATACCCTTAAGATGATGATTGCCAAGTTTGGTTAAATTTGTCAAAGTAGTTTCAGAGGAGAAGATTTTTTTTAAAGATTACTAAAATTTTTGAAAAATGGTTAAAAATTGACTATAAAGGGCAATAACTCCTTAAGGGGTCAACTGACAATTTAGGTCATTTTGACTTATTTGTAGATCTTACTTTGCTGAACATTATTGCTGTTTTCAGTTTATCTCTATCTATAATAATATTCAAGATTATAACCAAAAACTGCAGAATTTCCTTAAAATTACTAAATCGGGGGCAGCAACCCAACAACGGGGTGTCCGATTTGTCTATAAAAATTCCGGGCAGATAGATCTTGACCTGATTAACAATTTTACCCTATGTCAGATTTGCTCTAAATACTTCGGTTTCAGAGATATAAGCCAAAATCTACATTTTACCCCTATGTTCTATTTTTAGCCATGGCGGCCATTTTGGTTAGTTGGCCGGGTCATCGCACACATTTTTTAAACTAGATACCCCAATGATGATTGTGGCCAAGTTTGGTTAAATTTGGCCCAGTAGTTTCAGAGGAGAAGATTTTTGTAAAAGTTTACGGACGACGGACGACAGACGACGGACGCCAAGTGATGAGAAAAGCTCACTTGGCCCAGGTGAGCTAAAAATAGGCACGTAAACACTGAGATTACTATATAATAATACTATGCTTTGGGGTAGACATCAACCTGAACCATTGATCTTTTGATTCTGAAACCTTCACCCCAGCCACACAAACACACACAGTCGATGCCTAATGCAGAAGTTCTGTTCTGTTCATACTATCGTAACAATATTCAAGAAATTCATATTTTCTTATATCCTCTACTGTAAAATCCCTACCTGCTTAGGAATTTGAATTAATGTGGTCATTACACACAGATCTGAGATTACTGGAAGATAGTTGATTGATTTATTGCTAAACATCCAGTGGCAAATAGTTTTGCATGATCAGGACAAAAACAAATTTACGATACTAGTAAATACAACAGTTAGCCACTAGGTCCTGTAATAGGGGTCGTCCAGGATGAAGGTCTGAACTTTTGAAAATGCCATTGGAAAATTAGGGTTTATTGATCTTTATTGGATAGGGACAGATATTTTGCCTTTCAGCAGACCCCTCAAAGAGTTGTTGCAAGTGTTATTAGCGTGCAGAGAGCGAGGCGAAAATTTGTTTGGACTATTTTAAGCTTAAGGCCCACAGAGGGTCAAGGGAAACGATTTCAACTTTTTCAAACGAATCTTTTAACTCATTGGGGAAAAATTGGTTAAACAAATCTAAAATTTCTGAACTTTTATGAATAACTTTCAGATCCAGTTTCATACACAAAGTCAATGATACACTTATTCAAAGTCAAGTCAACGTTTTTTTTCTGCCAATAAAATCAGTTATACTCTCATCAACTTCAACATTGAGGTGTGGGTGGGTATGAAGAAGGGATAGATTAGAAAGTCGCTCATCTCCGATCTCAGGTAGGACTTGATGCGTCGCATCGCACTGAAGGATCTTTCACTAGTTGCCGATGAAACGGGCATTGTCAATAAAATCAAAATAATCCTATGCACCGAAGGATACAGATCGGTGTTTGAATAGGGACGGGCACCGTATAAATAATAATACGCATTAGAATTACAATGTGTATTTTTTTTTTTATTCCAAAGGGGTATATAATTGGCAAATTTATGTATAGGCACGTGCCTAGTCGAGCCTTAGGTAGCTACGCCACTGAATGTGGCAGCCAAGCGATGCATTTACTAAAAATGAGTGCAAATGATTGGCATAAAAGACTAACATTGTTAGACATAATGAATAATAGACAGAATTCAATATTTCACAAGGAATAACCATGGAATTAAGGAAAACTGGGTAGCAACGTTCAAGTGCAGTGGCGTAGCTACTATTGACGCAACGACGCACTTGCGTGCACAAACAAACAGGCAAAAAAAAAGTTTTGAAAGACTTTTTTTTTAAAGAATGATTGAGAAAGAGTGTGAGAGTGAGGGAGTATCGATAAATACAATTTATTCATCGATACTTATAAGAATACCCAAACTTTTCCATATTTTACCATCAGTTACATCAGTTCATATACCATCTTCTAAACGAATTTAAAGACTGATTGACCGGGTAATTCAGAGGAAATGTTTCTCGCCCACCTTCTAATTCCACAGAATGTTAAAGAGTTAAAACGCGAAGATCAGTTGCGTATATATATCACGCCAATGAGCCTCTCGAGATCCAAAGATATGTTGCTCGTTGAAAGATACCAGATCAACTATATGAAACATTGGAAACGACAAACAAAGAACTGCATTCTAATATATACTGTAGAATTCTTCTTACTATGCCACCAACAACTGCAACTGAAACGGGTTAAAACCTATCTTAGATATACAATGGGACAATAATGGCTATCTTCTCTAATACTATTGCACATTCATGCTGATTTTGAAATTGATTTGAAAAGAAGTTGTTGACATATTTTATAATACCAAACAAAGAAAAATGTTGCTTGCTTAAATGAAACCAGTAAATTGTTGTTATTTGCAAATCACTTATCAGTTAACAAGTTAAAAACCAGATGCGTTGACCTCTAGACGTCTTTTATTATTTTTGTGTGTCGTTTTGTTGCTGTCTTATATATACACCACAATTTCGTTAATTCACATTGAAAAAAATTGGAGGATACCGATTTCAAAAATTCGTTTCACATCGCTTCATGATTATGTGCTTTACCCAAGATGAAGTCAGGAAGTCACTCTATCTTTATAATTTTGTCATTTTCGAAATTTGGTGTCAATGACAGATCTTTTATAGTCTCTGCAAATTGTATTCACAACTGTGTTGCTCTGGCCGGTTTAGAGCTTGATATATATTATTTAGACACTTGTCCATTGTTGGAGGACGTTTGTTAATATCGTTTGACGTTTTTTTTTTTTATTTATGTCGATAAAATGCTGTCTCGCTTGCGTGTAACCATTTCCTTTTATTCCCATTTATCGGTATGTCAAGCAAACTTGAATAATTGGATTGTTTTGAGTCCGCATGATTTGTTCTTCAGACTCCTTTTCCTCGTACTAATCAATCTTAAAAATGCATAACTATTGGTTTTATTTGTGCACCTTTTCTGTATTGACTTGTTTGTAATCAGCTGACTGCTTTGGTGTTGTCATAGCGGCCAAAAACCAGCAACGATCGGGCCTATGACTAAGCCAATGTATTATCTATTTCATAATATTATGTTACAGCCTACATATATTACAAAATTGTTTGCATCACTCTTTGAAGGTCGATTGTCTCCGTCGAGTTCTCTAGCATATTCAATAGGCAAATTAGTAGAGCAGCATTATACTGGTTTATAAACAAATTGTCGTCACTGAATCAGTCCAACACTCATGTCCGTTTATCGAGGTATAACTGGACCCTGTCATTACATATAATTCAAAAGAAAATTAGACAGAACAGATAAATTTCCAACAACAAAATTCTTCTTTGTGTTTGCTTAAACAATCAATATCCTAGAAGTATACTGAGCCAGGGATAACTTCTTATATAGATATAGGAAGATGTGGTATGAGTGCCAATGAGACAACTCTCCATCCAAGTTAAAATTTATAAAAGTAAACCATTATAGGACAAGGTACGGCCTTCAACACGGAGCATTGGCTCACACCGAACAGCAAGCTATAAAGGGCCCCAAAAAATTACTAGTGTAAAACCATTCAAACAGAAAAACCAACGGTCTAATCTATATTAAAACGAGAAACGAGAAACACGTATGAACTACATAAACAGACGACAACTACTGTAATCAGATTCCTGACTTAGGACAGGTGCAAACATTTGCAGCGGGATTAAACGTTTTAATGGTACCAAACCTTCTCCCTTTTCTGAAACAATAGTATAACATCACAACATAGAAAAACACACTATAAAATATCAATTGGAAGGCTTAACTCAATCAAAAAACGTAAATTAACACATAATGAACAAATAAATTTGACCTGTGACACCTGAATGCAAATACAGTTAATAAAAAATTACAAGGGACAAATAATTAAAGTCAAAAGTAAATAAACAGGTTTAAACAAAGTTAAAGTATGGTATCACTGTTATATCTATTTACAGGCTAGTGATACAGTAGTTTCACTACTTAGACCATTCAGCCACCGAGGCCCCATTATGGCAGATCCAGGGGAGGGTTGCTGGGGTTGGAACCCCCCTTTTTTTAATGATCAATGCATTTGAGGTCATATAGTTCTCTTACTTTAGATTGCCTTAACTAAATGGTATGAAAGTTATAATACACAATACTTATTACCACAAAACTCAGTTCAAGTACAAATTTGGGTAGCATCACTTTTACCATTCTTCATGATCAGTTATGTCCCTTTATGCCAATATGTTTTTTCAGTAAAAAACAAATCTATACAGTAGGGTCAAAATATTGACCCTAGAAACTGATGAGTATAATAGTACCAGGTAAAATATGGAATTTATGAATATTAGTCCAATAGTCCATGTAGAATATGGAAAATGAATAAAAAAAATCATATCTTGAAGTTACTCCTGAATTTCAAATGGCAATTGTTCATAAAACATGTAAACCATAATGCCAAAGAAGTATAAGACCTATGTCTTCTTTTTGTTTGTGACAATGCAAACATTCTGTAGCCAATGTCAATGAATTAAGACTGAGATGTAGGGTAAAATAATTTCCACGAAGACAAGAAATGCCAATGCTAATCATTCTTATACAATTTTATACCAAAACTACCATTCATTGACTAAAATTTATAAGCGGTTCCCTCTAAACTGGATAAAGCACAAACTTGAACCTATATTAATTACATTTTTCTGATACTAACTTTTCATAGATTATGTACTATGATGAGGGAACAGTACAATGTAATTTCCATAGAAATGAGATGAGCAAATGCTTATAGCATGTATAGGATTGCATACCAATATATTTAACAGAAAAATTTCGATCTGATCTGGAAATTTGAGTGATAATACAAGAACGCAAATGTTTCTATTTCTATTCAATAACTGGTCGTCTCCTGTGTAACAACTTTTTATACGAAGAATCTGCAGATGGTTTGTTGCAAAGCAAATTTTATTGCCACCACCACCTATCTTTCGTCCATAGCTAGTTCCTCCCCTCTCCAACAATTTTTACAAAATTTTTAGAAGCTACTTAAGTTATTTACATCAAGGATTTGTCTCACTATACAAATCCTTGTTTACATCTATTAACATTTTATATCATCTTGAATATGCATTAAACATTTGCCACATTACAGTAAACAAGCAATGTCTAAGCAGATGCATAGCTGAAGATATGGTATGGGTTTTGCTCATTGTTGAAAGCCATAGTAACATACCATTGCTTAAATCTGCAATATTTGGACTCTCAGGGATAGTTGTCTCATTGGCAATCATAGTACCACATCTTTTTTATTTATGACTATTGATAAAAATCAACCGATTAAGTCTCCTACCTGTAAACTTTGATTAAATCTTCTGTGATGAATGACGTCTCCTTTATATCAATTTCAAAATTCATAACTGCTTCTCCTTATGTCAATCATTGGCTCTCTTCAAATATCCTTTCTATGCATTTAACCATGAAGATTCTTCATTTGATTCATTTACTAATAGAAATTTCCTGCAAAACATAAAAACATGTCAATTAGGATAAATAAATAGGCATATTATTTTTAGAATATTTGTACAAAACTGAGTAGTTTTGGTAGTATAATAAAAATCTGACCCTGCAATATTAATAATCAGTACAAAAAAAGATAACTCTGTTCATTTAATATGACAATATCAACGAGATGGCTCTAGGGAGTGTGTTGGTTTGTGCAAACTTGTCATATAAGGGCAATCACGATTTTGGCAAAATTTGACATATTTGTAGATCTTGTCTTGCTGATCATTTTTGCTATTAAAGTGGCTTTCTATCTATAACAGTTAAATGTAAAATATTATTATTGTTTTTCAGAAAAGGAAAACAAATGATAAAAGTCATCATTAAACAGTCAATAACTCTAATAATGAGTAGTTTTTAATTTCGTTAAAGTTTGACTTGTTTGTAGATATTGTCTTGTTGATCATTTTTGCAATTTGAAGTTTCTTTAAGCTGTAATGTTTCCAGGGGCGGATCCAGCAATTACATAAGGGGGGGGGGGTTCCAACCCAGGATAAAAAGGGGGAGGGGGTTTCCAACCATATGTCCCCATTCATTTACATTAAATTAAAAAAAAAAGGGGGGTCCAATACATTACTTTTAATTTTTTTGGCAATAACCGAGATATTCAAATATTGTTTGGCATAAATTCTTATGATTATTTAGACTTATCTGATTGAACCAATATTTTTTAAATATGTGCTTTTGTGTTTCATAATAATCATACATTTGAACCTTTTATTCTGAAATCATTCATTTTGACCATTCATACAAAATCATTAATGTAATACATTAATTCATATCAGTATATTAGAAGGCATGTGAGGTATTAATTATGGAACACTGACCTTATTTGAAAAAAAATCAAAGATGTCCACCAAATTTGAATAAAATTATATAAAGAACAGCACAGCTCCAATCAGTTCAAAATATAAGTAAAGTCTGACTAAACAAAAGAATTTCCCTCCTAAATAGACACATGACTTAATGAACCAATTATCATAAAGGAGATAGAGTTTTCATAGCACAAACTAGTTAAACCTAGATAGTAAACTAATACTCAATGGATCAAAATTCACTGAGCCATGAAGAAAGAAGTCTTACAATAAATAAAACCACTGATGCATGACTAGAAACTACTCATTAATTACTTAGAATTAAATTTACTAAAATCTGATGTAAAATATAAAAATATCAAAGTATGATACACAAAACAACAGTGTCCAAATTAACATACTACATGTAGTTACCATGGTTACTTGTTTGCTTAACATTCAGTGGCAATAACATTTAAATGAAGTACTTCTGAGTTTTCCCCAAAAAAAACCATACATTTTCTTTTGAATATTAAAAAAAATATCTGAAGATTTTGTTTTGGTGATTATTTTGTGAATCTTGTCCTCATGATCATTTCTGCTCTGAATTTTTTTATTGCCCCTGCCGCAGTTGAGGGGGCATTAAGTTTAACCCTTGTCTGTCTGTACGTATGTACGTCCCAAAATTGGTTTCAGTTTTCTAACTTTAGTTTGCCTCAACCAAATGTTATGAAACGTTGAACACAATGCTTATTACCACAAAACACAAGACAAGTTTGAATTTTGGTGGCATCACTTTTACCATTCAAGAGTTATGCCCCTTTACAAATGAAAAAAAATGCTTAATTTTTTGTTACGTTCTCCCACTTCGGTTTGACTCAACCAAATGATATGAAACTTATACACAATGCTCATTACCACAAAACACAGATTGAGTTTGAGTTTTGGTGGCGTCACTTTTACCGTTCAAAAGTTATGTTTTTTTTACAAATAGAAAAGTTGCTGAATTTTTTGTTTCCAACTTCAGTTTGTCTCAACTAAATGTTATGAAATGTATATACAATGCTTATTACCACAAAACTCAGTTTAAGTTCAAATTTTGGTAGCGTCACTTATACAGTTAGTGAGTTATGTCCCTTTATAACATTATATGCTAGCGGGGACATCATCTGAGTCCCTATGGACACATTCCCCATTTATTTTATCTTTTATAGTTTTTGAATTAAAAGGAAAAACACTAAAATTGGTAAAAATCATCAATTAGGGGCAATTACTCCTTTACAGAGTTAACCAACAGTTTTGTCCTTGTCATATTTCTTGTCTTGCTGTGGCCAGGTCAGCTAAAGTAAGGAGTTGTTGTATTATTGCAAATGAGACACTTATACACCAAATACCAAATGATGTAGATGCTAGCTACTTTTGGTCATCATACAATCTTCAACGATGATCCTTAAAGCCATAAAATTCTATAGCAAGCTATAAAAGGCAGTCATGAACCAATTTAAAAAATAAAATAAAATGAGAAAACCTATGTCTGATTTAGGCTAAAACTATAATATTAGAATTACAGCCATTCAATCACAGGCTCCTGACTTTGGACAGGAATTTAAAGAATGTGTTGGGTGGGGGAGGAGGTTTCATAGGACTTAATAATGTTCCCTATGAAATAATGTCTAACAAAATTTTTTTCATAATAAATATAAATACTGTCCATGGACAATATTTACTTATTTAAATGTGTCCAAGCCACAATTTTCCTATGAAAAATGGCCTTAGGTATGAAAAAGTGTCCATGAACATATATCACTGTATATAGCCATATTTAATCATGTTAATACTAAAATTTCTATGATTTTTTTTCATACAATTAAAGTATAATATAATAGCCATGTTATTACTAAACATATTTTAACCTATTATATATATATATTGCTTACTTTTAATACATTGTTTCTTTGACAGAGAGAAGTGTTGTCTCATTGGCTCTCATACCATCCTTATATTCTTGTTTACATTTTTATACGACAGCAAAAAATTTTTTGGGTTCCTATAATGCTATGATGTCGTCGTCTGCATCGTCAGCATCGTCTGCATCGTCATCCAAAGACATATTTGGTTTCCGGACAATAACTTGAATTTATGTGATTGGATCTCTATGAAATTTTTTAAGAAGGTTACTACAAAAGGATGGTTGGGATTTATTTTGGGGATGATGGTCCCAACCGCTTAGAAATTAAGGGCCCAAAAGGGGCCCAAAACAAGCATTTTTCTAGTTTCAGGATACTAGTACTTACTTGTGTAAAAGTATTTCGATTGGTCTGAAATTATACCACAAGTTTAATGCCACATTTTGGGGGTTATGGTGCCAACAGATTGGGAACTAAGGGCCAAAAAGGGTAAAAAAAAAGCATTTTTGTAGTTTCCGGGCAATAACTTGTGTGTAAGTGTATGGATCTCTCTGACATTGTACCACAAGGTTCCATATCAATGGAAGGCTGAGATTGAGTTTGGGGGTAATTGCCACAAACATGCAGGAGTTGGGGGCAAACAAAGGACCAAAAACAAGCATTTTTCTAGTTCAATACCACAAAGGGAAGGTTGGGATTGATTTTGGGGGTAATGGTACCAAAGGTTTAGAAATTAAGGGCCCCAAAAGGGTAAAAAACAAGCAATTTTGTAGTTTCCTGACCATAACTTGTAAGTCTATGGATATCTCTGAAAATGTACCACAAGGTTTCATATCACAATGGGAATACTGGGATTGGTTTTGGGTTATGGTACCAATGGTTTTAAAAAAATTGGGGACCAAAAAGGATAAAAAAACAACCAATTTTGTAGTTTCCGGACCATAACTTGTGTGTAAGTGTATGGATCTCTCTAAAATTGTACAACAAGGTTCCATATCACAATGGAAAGACTGGGTATGAGTTTGGGGGTAATTGTCCCAAATGTTCAGGAATGAGGGGCCAAAAAAGGGGCTAAAAACAAGCAATTTTGTAGTTTCTGGACAATAACTTGTGTGTAAGTGTATGGATCGCTCTGAAATTGTACTACAAGGTTCCATATCTCAATGTGAAGACTGGGTAAGAGGTTGGGGGGTAATTGGCCCAAAAGTTCAGGAATAAGGGGCCAATAAAGGGGCAAAAAAATAACATTTTTCTTGTTTCCAGATAATTACTTGTGTTTAAGTGTATGGGTCTCTCTGAAATTGTACTGCAAGGTACCATACCTCTAAGAGAAGGCTGGGATTGAGTTTGGGGGTAATTACTTCAAGGGGGGTCAAAATAATTGGGGAGGGGGGGGTCATAATTTTATGTATTTTTTTTTTAATTTTCCATTTTTCAATCAATTATATTAGATATATGTAAAAGCAAAAAATATTGATATGACAGGAGAAACACACAAGTTATCATATGAAGTATTGTGCAATAGCAAGAAATCTTCCAATTGCATAGAATTGCGCTATAGCACAGTATTACGCAATAGCAAGAAATCTACAATTGCACAGTATTGAGCAATAGCAAGAAATAACCAATTGCAAAGTATTGCACAATAGCAAGAAATCATCAATTGCACAGTATTGCACAATAGCAAGAAATATCTTATTGCACAGTATTGCGCAATAGCAAGAAATCTTAAATTGCACAGTATTAAGCAATAGCACAGTATTGTGTGTAGTAAGATGTCTCATTTCAGATTTCAGAAAATAAAAAGAAAATGTCTTCAAATATTCAATTCACAACAGCATAGTGTATTGCACAAAAGCAAAACATTGAATATAAATTCAAATAATATAACCAATTCTAAGTTCTTTGACTACAGTTATTCTGTGTCAGAAACCTGGTATGTGTCAAATATTTAATTACAATCCAAATTCAGACCTGTATCAAGCGCGAATAATGTGTTCATTTTTGCCCCAACTGTTCAGTGTTGAACCTCTGCGATCATATCCAGCTGCGCTCAGCGAAGCAATTTATTATCCATTTGGGAATGGGGGTCAAAGGGGATATTTTTCCTTTTTTAAGACAAAATTTTTAAATTGTACATATGACTGTTTTTTTGATATATTTTTCAATTTTATGTCAGTTAATTTTCAGCCCCCCCCAAGTCAAATCGGAGACTAAAAAACTGGTACTCCAAAAGGAAAAGATAGGTGACCCACTGCGGGCGTTTGTCTTGGTGAACTAGTGTAACAAAAAATTTGTTCTGGTGTGACATTTGTTCCACCGGAACAAATTTCATAGGAAATATGTTCCATCGGAATTTATATCACAGAAAATTTGTTCCAGAACTAATTTTATGACCAAATGTGAAATAAGTTCCAGAACAAATATCATAGCTCCATGAATTTTGTTCCAATTAATATTACATGTATTTAGAGTTATAAATAAGATAAATATTTAAGTTTCTGTGATATTAGTTTTAAACGAACATGTACATATTTCATAGAAATTAATAAGTTCTGCTCAAACATATTTTCACAGAAATTAGTACTTTTGCAACATATTGCACAGCAAAATATTTTCTTGTTACACTTAAATTATAATGCAAGCTAAATGCTGTACTGAGTGTGCTTGCATGGGATACATTTGCAATCAAGGGATGTCTGTAACCATAGGATGTAGGATGAAGATACGAAATAAAGCCATTGAAAAGTATTATAATTTGTATTTATTTTTTATGTAGTATTCCTCCTTGGTTCCTTTTAACTGTCATGGCCCCTTGTTCTTGTCATACATGTACTTAGGTCATGACACAGTTTCAAAAGAGTATGTCTTTTGAAACTACATGTCTTTTGATACAATTGATCAGTTATTATGTCCTTTTCAAATAAGTACATATGTTCATCCTTAACTATACTTTTTTTCTGAATGATTTTTCTTATTCTACTCTTTTCTGGCTCAAAAGTGTCATTTTGATATTTTTACAGAGTATATAACTAAACATGCTAAACATTTGCTATACTCCACAGGATCCGAATTGGATGATTTATACTTTTTGCTTATATTATTAATATAATACTTATTTTTATAATGCATATGAATGATAACTTTAAACGCACTGATGACAAATGCTCAGTATATAAGATAAC